GTTGACACGTCACATGCATGTTGCAACCCCTCCGAGTTTCAGCATTAATTGAAATACCAGTATTAATTGTGGAAAGTTAGTCATGCAAACAAAGCTGGAAGGGGAAGCTTTTTGAACCAGCTGTTTTGTAATTGTGTGTGTTTTGCAAGTGCATAACTTGTGACGCGGGAGGAGTGCTGTGATGCTCTGTGGCGCTAGGATCCTTGCGTATGCTGGGGTCCAAGTGCCAGAAGGTGCTTTGTAAAGAAACTGCAGGTGGGAGCAGTGCTGTGGCCTGGTGCTGAGGGTGAGTGGGTGCTCAGGTGCCTCGGAGAGGTGCGGGGGAGCTGGGAGCTGCTTTAGAAGAACTGGGGGCACCCTTGGGAGCCAAGCACCCCCAGTTCCTCTCCTTCATCAGGGCAAGGTAATGCGGGGAGCAGGGGGTCATGGTGCCTTCACTCTTTCAGTAGATGAGAGCAAGGGACATACTGTTGGGAAAGGGCACTTTGGAGCAGAACCACTCTCTGTAGCGCTCACCGTGTGCCATCGAGCCGTGTTTTTTCTCTTGCTGAGAAGAGCTTGTAGCTGTCAGCAGAAGAGCAGGCAAAGCTCAGGGGTTTATCTGCACAGCTTCCTTAAAGAAGGAAAGAAATACAGCTGTGTAGAATGAATTTGGAAACCAGAACATTTAAAAGTGAGTCACTTAAAAAGAGTTCTTGATGTTGTTTCTAAATCCAAGGGAAGCCCAGAAACCAAACAAATTTTCAGATGTCCATATTCCTTTTAGAGGTTGATATGAAAGAGCTGACTTCCAGCAAAACCCAGCTGAAGGCGGCTGCTCTTGGTGTACAGAAACCTCGGTCTCTCTTTGAGGAACGGCCTGGTTTTCCAGGCATGTGTGGCCAGTGCTGTCCTGTTCGTAGACCACCGTGGTACCTTTTGAAAGCAGCTCCTCTGGACAGTGTCGTTTCCAGGTGAAGGAGGCTAGAAGGAGCTTTTTCTCTCTGCTGGAGCACAGAAGCCTACAGAGCCATGCTTCCTGGGGATGAGCTCTGTGCCCGCTGGAGGTGTTGCGATGTCTGTTGTGTAAAAAAGAAACTGTTCATAGATGGAGAGATTTCCTTGAGTCTGTCACCCTGCCCTATCCATTTGGACATTTTTCCAGGCATTTCCTTTAATTAAAAGTGAGACTAGATTTCCGTGGTAGCTTGTGCTGGTCAGAATGGATAACCTCCCCAAACCTGCTATTTTTAGGGCATTTTCAGAGGTATGGAGTAGACTTAAAGAAGAATAGAAAAAAATGGAGAGCGAGAGAGAAATGATGGTGGCACTTACATACTTCCAACCTTAATTACTTCAATAGATTTTTTTGGTAGTATTTTATGGAGAATTTCAGAAATTTCTCCAGCATGTATTGCACTCTGTGCTTTGTAGGTTGCCTGTTACAGATGACATTTTGGGGTCTTTTTGTGTACACATTGGCCAATTGTTCTGAAAAAAACCAGTGTTTTTTCTTTGAAATGTTAAATTTGTCTATTGTTTCCATGATGCTTCTGTGATTTATTTTATTTATGTTTTAGTTCGGTGCATACCTACAGTCTAAAAAAAAATTTAAAAATCATATTGGTGAAATGATAAATGATGCATGTTGAAATATGGGCAGATTTAAGGGCAAGGTGGCACGTGGTTGGAGTTTCCTAAAGAGCCTGAAAATATCACCACCTTGCGTCGTGTTGCATTCATTCTGTAAATACCCGAAGGCAAATATTTTGCTGGCTCAAGCAGAAGAGGGATACTGTCTGTATTGTCCCTCATCTCTGCCGTAGCTGGGCTTTCTGTAGCTATGATCTGGCTGCCTTCACAAGGCATAGCAGGTGGGATACTCCGTTAGCACTGTCTGGGGTTCCTGTGATGTCCTCCTCACCATGGGGAAGCAGAGAGTGGTGGCTGGACTGGAGAGGCAGAGGAAAACTGGTGGAAACAGGGTGGGAGGCTGGGGAGAGGTGTAAGAAAGTGGGTTTGTTCAGCTAGTCACAAGCAGAGGAAGGTATTCCTGGCTGCTGAGGAAGGGCCGGTAGGCAGCTGTCTGAGTCCCAGGGGTGATTCTTCATTTGCAGAGAGTCAGTTCAGAACCCAGGATAACATCTGGAAAGCATCTTTGAAGGCTACCAGTAACTGCATTTGGAAGGCAAAACTTGGGTGAAGAGGAAGGCTGGGAGGGCTTGGGGCGTGGGGTTTCGGTTTGAGTGTTTGCTGTAGGCTTCCTGCGTAAGCACTGCCCAGCCTCGGAGTGCCTCCAGCTGCGCGTGCAAGTGGGAATAGTGCTTCTGCTCCTTCAAGAGTGCTGCCGATGGAAATGAGTTAATCCCTGGACGAACAACGTCAAGACAGTGGCCACACCAGAACAAACTGAAATAGCTAAACTCCACCTTTGTCTTCGAAAAGGTTCAGCTGAAGCGATCTTCTGCACTGAGCAAGCTGAGCGGAGGTTCGCAGGAGGCAGGAGCTGCTGTCATCCCACTGTATGCAGTGCACACAGTAAAACTTGGTAATTCAGTGTTCAATCCTTTTCATTGCGTCTGATTTTTACGATTGTCGGAGAAGCCCAAGAATCAAATGGGTGTGCTGGTGCACTTGCACATGCAGTGATGCAACGTACGTGCCCATATAGAATGTTGCTGAGCTGTAGTGTAGCCACAGGCTTCCCATGGTTGCTCGTTTGCATCCCCTCCTCTTCTGAGCTGTGCTCGCTCGCTGCAGCGGGTGTGAAGTCGAGCGTAGCTGCTCCTGGCTGCCTCCAGCTGCGTGCATTTGTGTATCAGCTCTCACCAAGCTCTGATCATGATTTAGGACTTGTGTAATAGAAATTATGAGAGTTGAGGCCATTCATCTACTTTGGCCGTGGGCAGAGAACAAAAAGGGTATTTGTACAGTGAAATGGCACTGAATGTTCTACATCACTGTTTTATTTTATGTTTACAGAGCAGAGGGCACAAAAATAACACAAATGGGAACAATAACGTACGTTAGCACACTTCTAACTCCATTTAGCCTTCTTTGTTTGTAAATATTTTTGTGGTTCATCTGTGTTTTAAAGAAAGGAGGGAAAATTCTCCTGCCTCTCTACCCTTGTTTGAGGAAGGGGACAGGCAGTACTTTGTGGTTGGCTCTACTGTATTGCTGTGGATGGATGAATAGCTCTGCATTTTGCTTGTCACCTGACAAGCTGTTTTATATTTAGATTAGGAGAGAAAGCATGAGATTCTGAAAGCTGCATTTTCACTTGTGCAAAGGCCAGACCATGTGTGCTGAGTTATCAGAGTGAGGTTTTAATTGTTTCCTCTTATGTGTCCTGTGACTTATTACAGTCCTGCTATGTCAAACATGCATTCGTGGAAAGCAAGGCACCCCCAAAGGCGAGGTCTTTTGAAATCTGGGAGTCTTCCTCAGTACCAGCCAGCACGGCAGGTGTCTTTGGAGGGAGAGGAAGTTTGGAAAATCCCGATCCTTTGGAGTTGTCATCTTGGTCTCAGCTGAACGCTGTGCTGTGACGCTGGGCAGAGTATTAGCTCGTGGGTGGCAAACGCCATCCGTATTTGAAACGCCATCCGTAAAGCTGTGGTTTTGTTTTCAGCTGAGTTGTTGCTCTCGAGAACAGCGTGGAAAGCTAAAGCTGGTACACGAGGGAACATGACTATCCACTTCAACCTTCTCAGCACCCTGAGCAATTAAACACAAAAGCCTTTGTTCCCTGGTGACTTCATTCTTAAGAGGCCTTTTTAATTTTAGTCCTTAGTTTCGGGAAGAAATAATGAGAATTTGTCATTGACAAGAAGGCTGCATCTCTCAAATGTCATATGAAGGATCCACTCCATAATTCATGGGCTAGGGAGCGTAGGTGTCAAAAGGAGGGTGCGTAATGGATATGGGAGATTTCAGTTCAATGAAACTATTGGTCTTAAAGGCAGCTTTTCTTGCCTTCATGATATTTTCTTGACCCAGATCGCTACACTTTTTGCTAACTCATCCAGATATCCAGATATTTTTAGATTTTCTTAAGTAAGAGTGTGGCGGGTTATTGGTTATTTTCGTACAGCTTATTCCCCTTCCAGTGCGGATGGGGACTTGCACAGTAATATCAGGGCAGTGCTGCTTGATTTCTCTTCTTTCTGTCACTGCTGCACCTGTAAGCCATGCATTTGTGTATGTAGAAGTGCTGCTGTTTCTTATCAGTCCTTCTCTTTCCATGGATTCTGTGAGTTTTGCTTGTTGTGTGGTGAGATGCGTATCGCTGTTGATGTGCTGAGAAATCCTCTGCTGTAGGATGTGAATAAGAGCAAATCTGACCTGGGCTGCTGGGGGTCTGAATGCAAGTGTGGACTATTGGCTTCCTCGTTGCTGGAAGATTGTGGCAGACTCAGACCTACCAAAGGGGACTGCCAGATCTCTGCAGGCTGGAGGGGTCACCTCCTCACAGTCAGCCACTGCCTCCCGGCTTTGTCTGTGTTCCTGTCCTTGGCAGAGAAGATTAACTGTCTGACTCTGTCTGAAGTGAATTAAGGAGCATGGATTTTCTTCTTGCAGTCAAGCTGAAGGTGTTACGAGCTCTGATAGAGCTGTGCTAATAGCTGAGCAACAGCAACGAAGTTAGCATTGGTGATTGCAGAGCAACACTAACCTCCAGCAGCAGAGGTGCAGCCTTAATTTCAGCATTTCTTCTTCTAGTGTTTTTTTTCTTGTAACGCGTGTTTGTGTGCAGATGCAGGAGGCTCCTCTGTGCTGTCAGAGGTCAGACCCATCTGTCTGGGAGCCACGTGGGCACACCGATACCTAATGTTGGGACTGAGCTCTGTTTCAGGAGCCATTGCCTGTGAGTGAGGCAGGAGTAAGCAGATACGTGTTAGTTGTGGAGTAATCTGTTTTCAGTGGAGCTTCATAGTACAGCTTACAAAAGCTCTGAGGTTTAAAAATAAATAAAATGAACTCACTGACACAGAGCAGGAGCTTTTGGTGCAACTGTGTCCGTGTGTACGCCTGCAGGAAGTGAGTCATATTCTTACAAAATCATCAGCTGAAGAATTTGTGACTTTTATGACAATTCCCATTTTGGGCTAACTCAGATCTCTTCCTCTCTCTAGGTTTTTCTCAGGCATCAGGAATGTCTTCTGAGCCCACTTCATCCACCTCGCAGCAGTCCCCCACTTCTCCACCCTCACCCAGTTCTCTCCATCTGCCTGAAAACCGCAGGGCGAGAGATCGCTCCCCATCGCCCATGAGAGGGTACCTCATCCCCAGTCCGCTGCCCACTCGACGGACCAGGACGTTTTCAGCGTGAGTACTGGGAAACCTGCATTTCATAGACACAACCTTTGGGCAGAATGACCGGCCCCCTGCCGAGGTGAAGGGAGTCAGGAGGGACGGTTGTATCTGGAAGATGCTTTGGTATTTTACTGTTATCTCTTCTCCCTGAGGCCGCTAGACTTTTAGTCCGAATTGCCTGTAGGTTTTCAATGCTCTGTTTGCATAAAGGATGTTCAAAGTCTTTTCCACTCTTTAAGACCAGAGTTTTACAGGAAGGGGAAAATACACTGGGATTTTTCAAAACAGTTTCTTGTCTGAAGCTTTGCTTCACTTCAGAACGCTGGGTTGTGTCTCCTGACCAGTTCCTGTTCATGTTTCTTCATCAGCTCCACCTCCTCCTTTGGCACAACCTCTCTTCTCACTGCCCCTGAAGCACTGGACCAGACCTCCTGACACCTGTGCTCATCAGCCAGGTTACATTTTAGGGATGCTCCATGACCCTGTCACTTTTCAGAGGGCTTGTTTCCTTTCCCATTCAGCTTTCATATCTCCATCTTAAGATTGCTCAAATAGACCTGTAAAAGAATACGTTGGTTTTCAAGGTATGAACCCTGATCTCTTTGATTCTCTAAGATTATATGAGGTTTTCCATAAAATGAGATGAGGGTTGTTGCTATTTGTAGTTATTTGAGGTAGTGATCCTACAGCAGAGCTGGCTTTTCCTGAGCTTTCCTGTGGCCCCGTGGTGCCGTGCAGGCTCCTGGGAGCCCCCTGCCTGAAGGGAACTCCTCTGCAGCGCAGCAGCAGAGGATGGTATTGCAAGGTTTGGCTGTTGCAAAAAATGCCCATTGCCTGTGATGGGTCTCCCAGTGAGATGCTGACCTGCAGAATGCAATGTGGGCTTCTTTGTTAGTCTCAGTGGCCTTTGAATCAGGGTCTGAGGGTGTAACGGAAAGCTGCGGTCAATCCATTGCACTTCTGCCACAGTCTTGCAATTACTTCTGTGTAAGGGAGGTCTGGCAACGCCAAGTGAAACACTTGAAGTAAGATCTTGAACCCGCAGCTAGCCTATTTTGTGCTGCTTAATCTAGTTTGCGTGCTTTTTCCTTTTTGCTTCTTGCAGTGTTACCCAGCTCTTTTCTTAAGGAGTTATCCATGCGGATTTAAGTAGCATCAATCTCAATGATGCTTCATATTATTACTTCTGTATTCAAAATGAGGCGAAAAAGAACAGCAGCAGCAGAAGAAAAATTTATATGCTGTCAGTTCCAAAAGCCTTCAAATGCCCTAAACTTTGTAATGGAAGTAGATTGCTAAAAGGAACATAACTGACTTGATAATTGGGATTGCCCTTGAAAAGCAGTTCCAAGCTAGTGCTTGGAACTTGCTAGTGCCTCAGTGCTGTGTTAATAATGAACTCTTTGTAATTCTTCTCAGCTGTTAATCCTAGTCTGGTTCTTACAAAACTAAAGAATTTGTTATTTGGCTTCCACAGTTCTTTAATCATTAATTAGTGTGGGAATCTTGCTGTATTTGTTTGCCCTGAAAATCAAAATAGCTTTAATTTTTTTTTTTTTTAAGTGTCCTCTTTAAACAAGAGGAGCTCTAGGTGAGCTCTGGCCCCACAGTTGTATGGAAAAGACAAATGTGACAGGCAGTGGCTTACTATTCACTGGGATTATTTAATTTTGGTTTGTTGCAGGTGTGGGGCCTTATCCCCCACAGTGCTTTATCTCCTTGAAAAATGCAGTTGAACTTTAATGGCTTATTTAACACGGTGAGTGCTTTTCTGTGTAACAAGCACTTGTGGGGTCAGATATGTCGACAGCTTTATAGAGCTGGAAATGAAGTGATTTAATGAAGATTTCTTTTTTCTTTAACACTTTCAAGTATTTCTTTAGTGTTAGTTTGACTTAAGGAGCAGAGCTGTTACCACATTTTTTTAGTGATTTTATTTAGACTTCAGTAAACATTAAACTTTTGGGAAAGTGATGCCAAAATTGCCATGATGCATGTAACCAAATGGCAACACAATCACTTACTGAGTTTGAAGAATCGCACCAAAATCCTCTTCTAACGTGGAAGCAACCTACTGGATAGTCATGGCGTGAGAAGGTCCTGATCTAGTAACGCCTCTGTGTAAACCCCGTTAAGATGTCTAAAGCAGTTGGCTTCATTAATTAAAGTATTTGAGTGAGTTTGGGTCCCTGGAGATTCAACTCAGCGTATTTGACGGGGAAAAGGATTTAATCATGCAGTTTTCAGGATGGGTCTAGTTCTTTTCTTGGTGGCACTAAGTCATCCTAAAGGTTTGTCTTCAAATCTGTCTTGTTTTAAAATACAGGTCCCATGACAGCGGAGGAGGAGATCAGTCTTGAGTCTTGGTGTTATGCATACCAGTTAGGCTTTGTAGCCTGCTGGAGTCATTTGGAGGTGAAATACTGACCTCACTGGATCCTAGTCTGGCAGGATAACGATAGACATGCGTGCAGAAGGGGTGTGTGTATATGTATATACATACGTGTGTACACATTTATACATGTTTTTATGCACTGCATTCTCTCGATACTACATGCACACACTTACTGTTTTTGTGAAAGCGCATACAACACCTAGGTGCACATTGGTACTCCCGAGCTCATGAAAGGTGTAAGATGCTTACATTTAGTATAGTGTCTAAAGGAAAATTTGGCAGGGTGATAAAGCAGATGGATTCAAGATGGCAACCGATGGATTATAACGCTAGCAAACATCATTGTCCCTTAAAAAGGCTACAGGCAAAACGTGTCCAGTGTATGAAACTGAGTATTAAGAGCTGCTACAGAGGAGTATACTCACTGGGCATGAGTATTTGGACCATTGTGCTCTTTGCTTAGTGTGCTCTGGCTGACACACCTGGAAGCTGTTGCATCCGTGCTCCGCAGTGACCCGCTCTTTCTGTGCTTCCTTTTGCAGAACTGTGAGAGCATCGGAGGGTCCCATCTACAAAGGTGTCTGTAAATGCTTCTGTCGCTCCAAAGGCCATGGCTTCATTACCCCTGCAGATGGAGGGTCCGACATCTTCGTACACATCTCTGAGTAAGTCGTCTGGGTGGCCAAAGAAGGCTGGAGCTTTGGTTTGCCTTAATTAATGAATGCTTTTGACGTTTCAGATACAAGAATAGTTTATAATCTGTCAGCCTTACCTCAGCAAAGAGGAGTTATGCAGATGTTACTCGCAGTGATAGATGATGCTGTTCTTTTCCTGTATTACTATAAATCTGTTGAGTTAAAAACTAGAAGATGATCCTGTCAAATCTCTTAGAATAAGCTGTGCAGTTTCACCCAGACCCAGAAACTTGCATTTACCTGAAGCAAATCATCTGTGCAGTATCTAGTTTTAAAGATTTGTAACACTGAAAATTCACTACTTTTACTTTGCACTGCTTGTACCATTATTAAACTAAAGGTTAATTATCTTTACTGTTGTCCTGGTTTCGGCTGGGATAGGGTTAAATCTCTTCCTAGTGCTGTGTTTTGGATTTAGTATGAGGAGAATGTTGATAACACACTGATGTTTTCAGTTGTTGCTAAGTACCCTCCTAGTCCAAGGACAGCTCCCATGCCTACTGACTGAGCTAGGTACACAAGATGGGAGGGAACATAATCAGGACAGCCAGCCCAGCTGGCCAACGGGGTATTCCATACCATGTGACGTCATGCTCAATATATGAATGGTAGGCGTGATCCAGGAAGTAGCAATCGCTACTTGGTTATCGGTCAGCGCGGGTGGTGAGCAATTGCATTGTGCATCACTCATTTTGTATATTTTATCATTATCATTATTATTTTCTCTTTTCTGTTCTATTAAACTGTCTTCATCTCAACCCACGAGTTTTTCTCACTCTTACCCTTCCGATTCTCTCCCCGTCCCACTGTGGGGGGAGGGGGAGTGAGTGAGCGGCTGCGTGGTATTTGGCTGCCTGCCAGATTAAACCATGACAACTGTTAAGAAAAGTCATGCTTTATTACTTCCTTGAATTTATCTAGCTTCAGTTTTGAGCATTTTATAGCTAAAGCTTTCTCTGTTAAAGGGTTCATTAGTACCTCCACTTTTTTGCCTTGAACGCACTGAGGACCATCACCTCTGAACCTACCTTTTGATAAACTAAACAGATTAAGCTCTTCAAATCCCTCACTGAGAATTTTTTCTCCAGTCTAAAAGAGTCTTTCCAGTCTCTTTTCTAAGTGTACTGTAGAATTTAAATATGATTTTAAAACAATACACTGTATGCATACTTTCAGTATACGGAGATAAAATCTCCTCCAGACTCCTGCTCTGTTTCTCTTTCTGCACATCCCATAATCGCATTAGCCCTCTCGTCCCTAGTCTTTTGCCGAGTTGCTTATCTGCTCTGACCTCAGCATCCGTTGCGGCGTCAGAGTTTGGTGCGGTCCCAGATACAGTCTGGCATCCCCGACAGCAGTGTTTGCATTCCTTGTTCCTAGATGTATGACTTTGTATTTGGTTGCACTGCAGCACGTCCTACTTGAATAGGCCCTGCCTGCCAAGGGATACAGGTCACGCTCCGTGGCTGCACTGTCTTATTTATTGCTTGGCTAATCTGCAAGGTTTAATAGACAATTTTATATTTGTTTCTAGATTGAGATGTTGACCAGCATGGGGGCTGAAACTGGTCTCTGAGGGCGTGTATTAAGATTGCTCAATATTTATTCTTCAATAACCTCTTTTAGATCTATCGCCAGTTTTTAGTCTACGTATTGTTACAGTGCTGAAGCTCTATAATCCTTATTTGTTCATTGGAGTGGTTATCCAGTGATAAGTCAACAAAAGCCTTACCAAAATTATTCACATTGCCCCAGCTATTGTTCCTGCTTGTGTGTGTAGCGCATGTCCTTGGAGAAGGAGCATGTTGGCCTTCTTCCAGTTTTCTGAAACGTTACTGCATGATGGGCGTTGGCAAGCCGAAGCTTTTTAGGACTCGTGGCTGCAAATGGGCTGAGTGGTCTGACTTAGGTGTTCAACCCAAGGAAATGTTATTTAATACCTTCTTTTTCTTTTGTCTAACACAAATGCACAATTTCTCCTTATTTTCTGAATAACTTAAAAATAACATTTTTTTATATCACAGTTTACAAATTTTACTGTGAACATCTAGTCTGACCTATACAGTTACTTGAATTCTCAGCCCTCTAATGAATTCTTTTTAAGGAACTGTCTTTTTTCCTCTACATTTTCTCTTCCAATTAGTTCGATAAAATTTTCTTCAGTTATGTGAAATTAACCCTTTTAAAACCCTAGAGATAACTTTTTGTTTGGGGCTGCCCTTTGTTTGTCTACACAAAACGTGAACTAATCTTTCAGGTGTTCCCCAATTCCTATCCTATGGCCCAACACATCTTTCTGTCTGGGTCCAAACCCCAGTTCTTGATTTTGGGTACACTAACTGCTCCTACCCTCAATCTCCCTCCAATCAGCTATAATTCTTAGAAACTCCAGTGATGTTTTTCTGTTCGGCTATTTAAGACTCCCATATGTCTCCTATACTGAAATCCTTCATGACATTATGAAAAACACTTTTTGTCTGCTCTGATTTTGGTGGTCTGTGCGAGAGGCCCCCTCTCACAGGAGTCCCCTCTCGTGGGCTGTGCTAGTTGGCGTATCGATCCCGTCTGCTTTCAAAATGCTTTGACTGTGAGCCATCAATAAGCTGTATTTGAGTAATTGTGCCCTGAAAGTGGCGTGCCACCCTCCCCTTTCTTCCACCCACTCGATCTATCCTAAAAACACTATTGAACGAGTCACCAAGTTGTGAAAGCTCATGGGCAACCACGCTTCTTGATGTATTTTCAGCATGTTTATTTTGCTGACGCGTGTCCACTTCTCTGCGTGCTCTCGCCCTCACCCAGCCGTGCCCTCGGGCCGCCCTGCACGGGAAAGCTGGAGCAGATAAAGGATGAGCGGGGAAGAGCTGCTGTGTGGACGGGCTCTGGCCTGCTCAGGTACAACCTTCAGCCTGAGCTCCGGCTTCCCAGGTCTCCACTTAGTGCCCTACCTGCTGGACCAGGCTGCTTCTCTTCATTTTTAGTTACTTCATTTCAAACTAATGCTCATGCGGGTGGGGAGCTCTGTGTGCCGTGCTGCAGTACGCTGCAGTCTTTCTCCAGTATGGCAGCTCTCTGAAGTTTACTGTAGGTGAGAAGGTTGGAGGGGACCTCCTCTACACTGTCCGCTGCTGGAAGGCGCCTGTGCCTTTCTGGCAGATGCTTTACCCAACGCACTCTTAACAGTCCGAGTGCTGGGGATCCACTGCCTCCCTGGGTGATCTCTTCCTGTAATTAACAGACCTGGCTCTTAATTGTTTCTGATATTTAACTGACATCTCCCTTGCTTTCAATGTGGCCCTTCACTCCTCTTTCCATCTCCACAGCAGGTAAATGATGCCTTTGCTCTTTAAGCCTATAATTTATGTGTTCAAAGACTGTTTTCCTTGTTCCTTCAGGCACATTTTAGCAAGGTTAGTTCACGTGAATTTTGTAGAACTGAAGGATGTGCTTTGTGCAACTTTTCCAGGGTCAATTCTGTTCCTTTGAAGCCAACGGGATTTTTTTTCTATTGAACCAGGACTGGGCCACTGTTTTAAATGTTTCTTATGTAGGTACTGTCTCAGAACTTAAATTCAAAAGTAGCTGATGTTTCTGCCTCAACCTGTTAGTTAAAAGTGCTATTATTGAAGTACTGAAGGTTTTAGCACATTGTGTTCTTTAATTACTCTGAGTGTATTTGAATTGTTGGAAACAGCTTTTAGTGCTAGAGGGTGATGGTATCACTGTCTTAATTCTGATGCAATGCAGCACTGGAAAGATGAATTAATAATGCCTTTCATTTCTGTTTATTTCACAGTGAATTAGAAACATTGCTCTTTATTAATGGGAATTGCTTATCGCAGCAGCATTCTGTAACCATCACTGTGGCTCAGGGGACTCCAATGACTCTGGTTTGGGTAGTGTGAGTTTTGAGATACTGCTTATGTTTATCACGTGATTCTTTTCTACCTATTTTACTCAGTTAGACCTGAATGTGAGAGAGACATCAATCTGTTCACTGCCTCAGTGCGTTATAGGCATCTACTTGTGAAATGAAAGAGGATTGTTTCTCCTGAACCAGTTCTGCCTGAAAGCTAGGATTTCAGGAATGTGGATAAAATGGTATGCCAGTTTGGATTCGGCAAGATAGACTGTTCCTCTGTGTTCATCACTAAGCCGTGATGATTAGCAAAGGTTTTGAGCATTGGGACCAGCTGCCTATCTTGCAGATTAATATGATTTTAAACATAAAAATTTAATTTGAGGAATTAATTTTTTTTTCTTCTCTAAGCTTTGGGGAGCTGTAAGGTTACACTTCAGTGAAAATGTCTTCCGTAAAATGGGATGTCTGTTTCCCATAGCTTTCCATTTATTTTTGTAAGATAATAACACTTAGCATGGCGTTTCCACTTCCATAAGTGAGCATTAGCCTTAAAATAAGGTCAAATATATGTGGCATTCAAAAGCTTCTTCACTTGGCATCTGCAAAATTTTACATTTCAGTATCTGTGTGAGAGTTTAAGGTGAATGTGGGCATGTGGACATGTTTTATGAGTGGACCTTGCAGCAAAGCTGCGTTACTGTGAAGCTGGACTTGTCAGGTGTGGGTAGATATACAGTATAAGAAACGCCAGCTTGAAATGCAGGTTTTAAAGGTGTTTTTTGTCTGTGTGGCTTTGTCTGTTTTAACGAGTGGCTCTGAAGACTGCAGAGAAGATGGGATTTGGGTTTTGATAACACTTGGAGCCAGTTCTCCTTTCTAACTGATTAGGTACAAATGTACAAAACTTTACAATTAACCAGGGCAGCCTGGAGTTCTCTGGAAATGCTGACACTGATAGGTGGTAGCGTTTCCTTTTGAGCTTCCTCATGTGGCAGGTAGAGGCATGGTGGCAGCTCTGGTGACAGTCACCGCAGGTGGCGGCAGCTTCCTGGCAGCACTCATGGCACCTTCTTGGGTCCGTCTGCGGGTAAAGCACCTGCGGCTGAAA